AAACAGGCCAAGAGTGACTTTGGAAAGTGCTCCTGTGGCTTAGGGGTGAGGTAAAGCTCCAAAAGAGCTTCTTGAATGAAAATGACCCAAAAAACAGCTCGGGCTTTATTAAAGGATGGCAGCAGGTGTCCCTGCAATGTCCCCTCCTGCCACCACACCCTCACTGGGGCTCCTTCTCCTTCCAGGGCTGCCCCATCGTGGAGAGACCTGGAGAGCCACAGGTGAGCTCTGGGGCAGCTCCCAGGAATCACGGGCTGGGATGGCTGTGGGACCATCCTCACCCCACCTTTCTCACCTTTCTCACCCGTCCCAGGTGCTGATCTACGAGGCTGCAGCTTTCCAGGGCCGCAGCTTCACCATCAGCAGAGACATCTATGACCTGAAGCGCCTGGCCGAGCCAGCGCTGCCCACCGTGGGCTCCCTGCGTGTCCTGGGCGGCTGGTGAGTGGCACGGGGAGGGCAGGGCTGGCATCCCGGCCTGAGCAGCCTGGAAAGGTGATGCTCACCCCTGGGAAGGGCTGTGGGATGGATGTGGGTCACCTGGGAGAGAGGCTGTGCATGGTGTCCCCGTGGGCCAGCACGTGGAAATCCTCTGGAGTCCTCACTGCCCGTGTCTGCCTGTCCCACAGCTGGGTTGGCTACGAGAAGGAAGGTTTCCGTGGCCACCAGTACCTGCTGGAGGAAGGGGAGTACCAGGACTGGAGGCAGTGGGGCGGCTACAGCAGGGAGCTGGTGTCCCTACGGCTGATCCGGACGGTGAGGGCAGGGACGGGAATCTCTTGGGAATGGGTTTGGTGTGGGCAGAGAGAGCTGGGCACCCCCAAAGGGAGCCTTCCCTGCCTGTGCCAGGCAGCTGAGATCCCCCAAACCTGTCTGAGCAAAGGCTCGGCAGCTGCTCCCACCCTCCCCGGGGTGCTCGAGGCCAGGCAGGAGCCCGGCTGTGCATGTGTCCCACCCACAGCCCCTGCCCCTGACAGACCCTGGGGCTTGGGGGGCTCCTTGTCCCCGCAGGACTTCTCTGACCCGGCCCTGGTCCTGTTTGAGGCCATGGACTTCGAGGAGGGCGCGAGCGTGGAGCTGAGCGAGGCGATCCCCGACACGCGGCTGGCCGGCTACGGCAGCGTCACCCAGTCCATCCATGTGCTGAGCGGAGTGTGAGTGTGAGTGTGAGTGTGGAGTGTGGGAGTGTGAGTGTGGAGTGTGTGTGAGCGTGGGGATGGAGCAGGGGGGCCCGGGGAGGGAATGAGGCAGCTCCCACCTCCTCCCCACAGCTGGGTGGCCTACGAGGGCCCCAACTACTCTGGCGAGCAGTACATCCTGGAGAAGGGGGTGTACCGCAACTGCGAGGACTGGGGGGCCACCGACTGTCACATCGCCTCGGCACAGCCCATCCTGCAGGTGAGGGGACACCCCCTCCTCGTGGGACCCCCAGGGCTGGTGGGGGTCACAGCCGGACACCCACCAGCTCCGCTCTGTTTGCTTCCAGGTCAGGGAACACAACCTCCACTTCGTCTCCAAGGTCAGGGGTGCTGGATGGGGAGGGGGATGCAGCCCCTTGTGGGGTGGAGGTGATGCTTTGCCCCCTCACCGAGCCCCTGTGCTCCCCCTCCCCAGATCCTGCTTTTCTCAGAGCCCGACTTCTTGGGGGATCAGGTTGCCTTTGAGGAGGACCAGGAGGCCCTGCCCGAAGCCTTCATCCCACGCTCCTGCAGAGTCCGTGGGGGCAGGTAGGGTGTCCCGTGCGGGATGGGGACAGGACAACACCCTGGGCAACCCCAGAGGGTGGTCAGGATGGGGGTGCTGCGGGTCACAGGAGGGATGGATGCCCACCACGGTGGCTCTGTCAGACCGGGAATGCTCCTCCCCACCAGCTGGATCCTGTTTGACGGGCAGGACTTTGCGGGGGAGCAGCACGTGCTGTCCGAGGGCGAGTACCCCACGCTTGGTGCCATGGGCTGCCTCTGCTCCACCGCCATCCGCTCTCTGAAGAAAGTTCCACTGGTGAACTTTCCTTATTTTCCCTTCCCTTCCCTTCCCTTCCCTTCCCTTCCCTTCCCTTCCCTTCCCTTCCCGAATGTTTTTCCCCTCTCACGGGAGTTCTGCTCCTCCCTGGAGCTCTCATTCCTCTCCCCCTGCCCTCTCCGATCCCAGTTTTTCTCGGAGCCCTCCATCTTCCTGCACGGGCTGGAATGTTTCGAGGGGAAGGAGATCGAGCTGAACTCCGAGGTGCGGAGTCTCCAGGCCGAGGGTTTCAACAACCACGTGCTGTCGGTGCGGGTCAAGGGAGGGATGTAAGTGAGCCCTGGTCCCCCGGTGGCCGGCGGGTGTCCCCTGCCCGCCCGGGGTGACCCGTCCTGTCCCCACAGCTGGGTGCTGTGCGAGCACGGTGACTTCCGAGGGCGGCAGTGGCTGCTGGACTGCACCGAAATCACCAACTGGCTGACCTACAGCGGGCTCCAGCACGTGGGGTCCCTCTACCCCATCCGCCAGGTGAGCGTCACCTGGCTTGAGGTGATCCCCAAAACCCTGGGACACGAGGCTGGCGTGGAGGTGGAGCTGGCAGCCCTCTCGGGGTGGGCTGGGGGAGCTGGAGAGCAGCAGCCTACAGGTGTGACACGGGAAAGGTGCCGCCGTCACCCCGCATTCCTGTCCCCCACCCTGGGAGTGGCCGCCTTTGTGGCGAAACGCTCCCCGTGGGCAGCTGCCTCGTAAAATCCAGCGTGGTGAGCCGTGCCCGTGCCAGCTACCAGGGACAGGTCACGGTCACATCGCCCTGGGGACACCTGGGCATCTCCTGGGGGGAGGACAATGGGGACAACCCCCCAGGGGTCCAGGATCCTCCCTCCCTTCCCAAAGCCCCAGCCAGGTGAGGTCCTGGAGGTGCAGGCAGCAGGGTTTGGGGTGCAAACGCCAGGTTCCTCTCGTTGCAGAGACGGATTTATTTCCGCATCAGGAGCAGGAAGCTGGAGCTCTTCCTCTCGGTCCCTGACGATGTGGAGGACATGAAGGCGGGGCGGGTGGTGGTCTCCAGCCTGAGCGAGCAGAGCAGCTCTGTCTGGTACTACGAGGACGGGCTGATCAAAAACCAGGTCAGAGCTCAGGTGTGACAGCCAGCGCCACCGAGGGGACCAGGGCAGCCTCTGGCAGGACTCCTCCCCACCCCACAGCCATCTTCCAGGCTTTGTAACAGCTTTTCCCAGCCTCTGATCCCAGCCTGGTCCCCAGAGATCTGGTGATTCTCCTGCCTGAATCTCCCCTGCAGATGTGAGGCCATCTCTGCATTCCCTGTGGAGTTTTTGTCACCCTCATCACCCCCACCTCTCACCGAGGGGTCTCCCTGCTCATCCCACATTCCACCACGGAACCAGCTGAGTTTGCAGGGAAATCCCTCCCTCTGTGTCCCTTGCAGGTGGCCCCCAGCATGAGCCTGCAGGTCATCGGGCCGGCCGGGAAGGGCGCGAAGGCCGTGCTGTGGTCTGAGACACGGATGCCGCGTCAGACCTGGAGCGTCGATTCTCGGGGACGGATCCACAGCCAGATGTTCGAGGACATGATCCTCGATGTCAAGGGTGAGGCCTCAGCCCTGTACAGAGGCTGCTTTCCCAGGGATGCCCAAAAGTGGGGTGTTTGGCCATGCCATGGGGCGCCCACCCCTTCAGCACCGTCAGGAGTGGGGTTTGCCTTCCCCAAACCTTTCCCTCGCTCTGCAGGCGGCCAAAGCTACGACCGGGACCACGCCATCGTTTGGGACATGGCTGATGAAAGAGCCACGCAGATCTGGGACATCCAGGTGCTGTGAGGGACAGAGGTGCCATGGGGCAGGATGAGGACACCGTGCCAGCGTCCCCACACCGGGGCAGGAGACCCCAGACCTCACCCACGCTGCACCCCAAGCGCCTCTGTGCTCCAGCTGCTGGTGTGAGGGATGAGCATCAACCTCTCCATCACTGGGGGACCACCCCACCTTCCTCCCGAGGAGGCCTGAACATGGTCCACGAAGGATCCCACGGGCACGATCAGTGTTGGACCCTCTGGAGAGCAGCTGGGTGTTTCCTCCCCCTGAACTGTATTTATGTACGTGTGTAAGATACAGCCCTGCTCGACTGGGCCAGCTCTGCCTGGGTGGTTGGTGTCCTTGTCCTTGTCCTGCCCAGAGCCTGGCAGTGCCCCCCACCCCGATCCTGGTGCCAGGATGGGATCCCAGTGCCCTCCACGGGCACGGGCAGCTCCATGGAGCAGTTGGAGGTGGGAGCTCCACGGCCAAGCCGTGCCCTGGCAGCACCGGGGGCTGCGGGACCCCAACAGCTGCAGCCCAGGGGACCCCTGTGGCCTTGGGGTCCACACGAGGGACTTAGAGGTTAAGATCAGCTCGGTAGGAAGGGGCGCTGAAGGAAGTGAAAGCCGCTCAATGTCGTAGAGCCCCCAGCAGAGCCCAGCTCCGCTCCGTGCCGCGACCCGGCCGGACAGGAAACGCTGCGCCCCTTCTCACGGACTTATATTAACTCTGCCGGGCTGTGATTGGCTGAGGGAGGGAGCTGGCGGCGTCGGATTGGCGGAGAGCAGCAGCCCCTGCTTGCGGGATTGGCCGAGGCTGCGCTCGGGGGTCCCGCCCGAACCCGCGGAGCGCTCGGAGACACTCGGGAATACTCGGGAATACTCGGGGATAGTCGGGGACACTGTGGGACACTGGGGGACACTGGGGGACACTTGGAGACACTTGGGGATAATCGGAGACACTCGGGGATACTCGGGATAATTGGGGGGACACTTGGAGATACTCAGGAAGACACTCGGGGACAATCGGGATAATCGGGGGGGTGCTCGGGGATACTCAGGAGGACACTCGAGGGACATTCTGGGGACACTCGGGGGTCCCGGCCCTGCTCCTCCCCAGTCTGGCCTGGCCCCACCCGGCCCCTCCATCCCCTCGGGTTGAATCCCCGCGTACGGCCCCGGTGCTGCTCCCCCCAGGCCCCGTCAGCCCCGGTACGGACGCGGGAGAAGGCGGAGCCGAGCCCGAGGTCCGGGCACCAGCGCGTTTATTGCTCCCCAGGCCGGGGCTCGCTCCGGGGCAGGCGGGACGAGGCGGGCGGAGGGCGGCAGGAACGGGAGCGGTGCCGGGGATGCCATCCTGGGCAGGGTTTCGGGAGGCTCCGGGGGCGGGGGGCGAGCCTGGAGCCCCCGCTCAGCGCAGGGGCAGCAGGAGCGCTGCCAGCACCCCCAGGGCCACGGAGAGGAGCGGGGGGCTGGCGCAGGGTGGGCTCAGGCTGATGCTGCCGGTGGTGTTGCTCGGGGCAGCATCTTTCGGAGGAGACGCCGCATCGTTCCCCTGGCCGAGGGACTGGGAAAGAAAACGAGCGTCAGACATCCCTCCCGACAGCAGCAGGGCGGTGAAAGCCCTGAGACCCCTCACGGGATGGTCCCGGGGGCAAAAGGAGCCGCGGCATCCCTGTGGTCCAGCCCAGGCAGGGCAAACAGCCTCCTGTCCCCTGGCAGGTTCCCCTGCACACTCAGACTCTCAGCTCTGGGCTTGTCCCAACGCAGGGAGGGAAGTGAGCTCTCCCTGGAATCCAAACCCTGCTCCTCACCAGGGGTTTGGAGAAATTAGGGGGGAAGTGGAAGCCAGAGAGGGGTCTCTGCTGCTGTGAGGAAGTGGTGAGAAGGTGACAGGACACGGCCCTGCGGCAGGAGAGGAGGAGGAGAGTGGGAAACACCAGTGCTGGAAGCGAGGGGCAGGGGAAGGAGGGACCCCCGAGCCCGGGGTGCTGCAAACAGGGAGGGTGCAGTCGGTGTGGGAGATGCTGCACAGCCAGGGTGGGGATTTCAGGGCAGTTTCTTTCCCTCTCTAACGCTGCTCTGGCTGCTGGAAAAGTGATGCCGTTTCCCATTGCGAAACACGATGTCTTACACCCCTCCTCAGGGTCCCTGCTGAGATGGGAAAGGAGCCCAAAACTCTGCCCCTTTGCCACACTCTTGTCCCTTTTGCCTGGTTTGCAGAGGGGGAATCCCAAAATGTAAATGCACCCTGTGGAGCCGGCAGCAGGTCGCAGCTGTGTGGAAATTCATGAGTGAAGTAAGTACAGACAGATCTGGCCCCATTACCAACATGTAGGGAGAAAAAAATCATCCCAAAAGCTGCCCCAAAGTGCATCGTGCTCCCCAAAAGTGCCAGTGGGTTCATCCCTAACCACCCAGGAGAGCTCTGACATCCCTCAGCATGGCTCTCGGACCGTGGAGCCCCCCAGCAAGAAGGGAAATAACATCCATGGGGAGAGCTGAGAGGAAACCAGAGCCATGTGTCCGGCCAGCCACACTCAGCATCCCCACTGCAAACACGGGCTGGGCACAGGAGAGCCTCAAGATGTCCTGGAGAGCTCAGTGGTACCCTCAAGTTAAAGAAACCCTTTCAAAAATCACCACAGGGAAGCGTTTGGACCTCCCAGACCGCAGCACAAAGCTCTTGGTGAGATCCCAGCGCTTAAAGAGAAATCCAAAACCAGAGGTTTTGAGCTGAAATTGGGTTTGAACCCTCCCCACCCCAGGGTCCTTACCAGGCACAGGCTGAGCAGGGCGAGCAGCAGGAGCAGGTGGGCACGCCGGAGGGGCAGCATGGCCGGGGCTCTGCGGGTGCTGTGACACTTCCCCTGACACTTCCTCGTCTGCTCCGAGCCTTTAAGCTCGGTGGTGGCACTGGTGCACCAATCACACCTCCCTTCCCCGAAACCTGCGGGACCCGGCGCAGTTTGGGGAAGTCACATCCTCTGCCTGGGCTGGGAAAAGGCGCCAGGCGTGGTGTGGGGAGCCCCTGGAGCTGCTTCTCTACAGCTCCCCGGCATGAATAACAGCCATAAATAACAGAATATAGAAATTTTCTATAGTATATATATAATAGAAAGTTCTGGAGGGGCTGAATAGAGCCTAAAGACTAAGTGGCAAAGTCAAAGGATGTAAAGGGATGAGCACAGGATGATAAACATGGCTGGAAACGGTGGAGAAACAGATAAAAATGACTACAGTGGGGTTTTTTTTTGCACAGATGTGAAAGGAAGCAGTGGTGCATGCCCAAAGGAAAAGCTCAAGGGAAGGTTGAAACCCCTCAGGCTCTGCTTCTCCCTGGGGTCTCTCTGTCCTCACACCCACCAAGGACTAAGAGTGAATTAAACCTTCCCTGGATCACTGGGAGGGTTTGAAAAGTGCAGCCGAGCTTGGAAGGAACAAACCTCCTTCCCTCCAGGTGGAGCTGGAGCCAAGGTGTCCCTTGGGATTTCAGGTGCAGATCCTGAATACAGGATCAAGGAAATGCTTTCTTTAAACCCCCAAATCTGTCTCCTCACAGCAGATCTCGGCTGCAGCAGCAGGAAACAAAAGGGATCGGGTTGTTTTAAGATGGTTCCAGATGAATAAAGTCACTGGAACGTGCTGAGAACACAGAGCTGCTGTCTGGGTTTGTGCTGGCCAAGCACATCACGGTGAGCTCCCTGTCAGCTTCCGCACACAGCCCAGGGCTCTTCTGCAGAAAAACTTCACCAAATTTAGCTCGGTTTTGCTCTTTGGGCAAGTTGAAAGGAAAAAAGTCTTTTGAGCACAGCCAACACCCCTGGAAGTGTCCAAGGCCAGGCTGGGCAGGGTTTGGAGCAGCCTGGGATAGTGGGAGATGTCCCTGCCCATGGCAGGGGGTGGGAATGAGATGAGTTTTGAGGTCCCTTGAGCCCAAACCCGTAGGTGATGGATGTGTACCCATCGAAGGAGGTAAAACTGAGGGGATGATTGGCCTGTCCTGCTGATCTCCAGCTGAGCCGAGCCCCCCGGAGAGCAGCAGGTGGGGTGGGGGACACCCAGGAAAGGCTCCTGGGATGGTGACAAGCGCTGGGAGCAGTTCAGCGCATCAGCGAGGCCAAGAGCGCTGCCCAGGTGAGAAAACAGAGACCAGAAGCACGTGAGGGAAGCGGGAGGAGCTGCACGGCGTGAAGTGCAGAAAAACGGGATCCGCTCCCGGTCCCGTCCCGGTATCCCGGGTGGGCGCGCGCGGTGCATGCTGGGAGCTGTAGTTCCCGGCACTATCGCGCCCCCCCACGTGACCAGGACCGGGCCAATCGCAGCGGGCCCCGCGTCGCCGTGGCAACCGCCCGTAAACAAGATGGCGGCGGGGGGTGAGTGAGGGCTTGGGGAGGGCGGGGACCCCCCCCGGGTTCGGACCCCCCTCCCACACTCGGCTGTCCCCCCACGAGGGTCTCCCCACCACACCCCGGGGGCGCCCAGAGCCGCCACCTCTGGCAGGGCCCCCCCCCAGAGCCCTTCTCCCCCATCACCCCCTGGTTATTTTAATATAGAATTAAATATTTTTATTTTTTTGAGCCCCTTTTTGCCCTCCCCCCATGCCTCAAACTGTCCATTCTGCACGGGAAACGAGGGTGGGCTGATCCCAAAAATGTACGGTTTGGGATTTTTTTTTTTTTTTGGGCAGTTCTTTCAATTATATTTAGAAAATTAATCCACCAAACACCCCCGAAATTAACGAAGTTGTGATTTATTTCATATGTTATTTATTCTTGCTCAAAGGGCAGAGCTGTCCAAGGTCATTACCTTCATGGCTAAGGCTGTTCTCACCCTTTACACAATGGATGTGGCTCTCCCTCCCCTAAAAGTGTCCAAAACCAGACAGGTAACAAAACATTTCCACATCCTCACCCAGCCCTAGAACATCATCTGTTTTTACAGCTCCATTCACATCCTCCCTACTCCACTTCAGAGCAAAAACTCCCATTTTTCTCCCAGTGCAATTAGCTGCTTCTGTTAATTGCTGAGCACTGTGCCTTTTTTTTTTTTTCCCCAGAAAAACTCGATTTTACCACTTTCTGCATCTCTTTTTCAAGCTCCACTTCGTGTTTGCTCTTCCAGCTGCTGGGATTGTTCCTTCCCGTGGTCCTGGCTCCTGAGGAGCACCCACACACGGCCAGAAATTTGGGAATACTGATGGCATTGATGGAGCACCTGCTCTCCTCTGCCCTCCCTTTCCCTCAGCACAACCTTGATATTCCTTCAGCTGCTTTTGGAGAAGCTGTGTCCAAACACTGCCCTGCTTCCTCCCTTTTGCAGGAGATGCCAGACTGTCTCCTAGGACAAGGAATCCTCTCCTGCTCCAGGGGACAACACTGACAAAGGACATGGAGGGTAATGATTTGGGGGTCCTGGGCCATCAGTTTTTGGTGACACCCCAGGCCAGACTCATTCCTGTGCCCCCCTCTCACACACACAACTGGTGACACCAGGAACTGAGGGATTTCCACCCAAAAAGTCCTCCCTGCTGTGGCAGAGCAGGAATTCCCTGTGCAGCCCAGCCCTGCTCAGAGGGATCTGTGCTTTCAGGTGCAGCTCACCTGGAGCTCGCGTCCTCTCTGGCAGAAAAAATCTCTCTGTTGGAACAAAAAATAGAGAAACAAGCGCAAGAAATCCAGCTGAAGGTAAAAGTCAGCCTCTTGCTGAGCCTGCTCTGGGCCCTGCCACAGGAGTTCCACCTCTCAGGCTCTGTGTGGCTTCAGAAGTTCATCTGTGACCTGCTCTTAATTACCCAAACGAGCCCTTTGCAAAGCAACAGAGCAGTGGGATCGGGGCCTTGGGGTGGCAGAGGGGACAGTCCCTGCTGGGGCTTCTTGCAGCAGCCACTCTCAGCACCCTGGCACCAACATCAGCAGCTCTTTGGCTTCAGAATTATTTTTTTTTCCCCCCTCCTTTTGTTTTCTGAACCAGCAGCTGCTCACACAGGAGAGTCATCCTGGAGCAGCCCTCTCTGCATCACTGAATAGAATAAATACTCTCTAAAAGCTTAGAATAAATACCTTTTTTTGGTTGAGTTTGGGTTTGTTTTTTTAAGAAGTGGCTGCAGAGATGCTGGTTTAGTTTCTAGATCAACCCCTCCCCATGGGTCACCTATTCCTGGAGTTCTCTATTTATCCCATTCCCTCATTTGAGTCTAATTAAGCTGTTTGTGAGGTGATTCAGCCCTTCTGACCCTTCAGCCTGTGCCTGGGTGGGGTGAGAGGACCAGCCTTGGCTAATTGTGCAAACTGTGCCTGGAGGTGCTCAGGGACTGAGCCAGGTCATTGTTCTGCCCCTGAAGGACGGGAGGATTGCTGAACTGGAGGAGAAAATAAAGACTCTTCAAGAAGGAGAAGGTAAAAACTGTTCCACCTTTGGCACCTGTGGGTACAGAGCTCTGGGGTGGGAAACAGGGAAACCTCTCTGAGCTGTCCTTGCCTGCAAAACCCAGGAGCCTCCTTGGTGAGAGGTCACAGCTACACAGGAACATTTACACAGAGGAACCATTTCCCAAAGCAGGTCTGCACTTTAACTTGTATCTGTTGCTCTGGTGCAAAACATCATTTCCTGACCTATTTTCTACGGTTTCTAAGTTTCCATGGGTGTGAAGCCAACCACAGACACCCAGGGAAGGTCAGAAAACCGAAGAGCAGTAAATACCACAGAGTTCAAACAGGCAGGAAAGCAGCTCCTCACGGCTGAGAGAAACCAAAAACCAATTGGAGTCTCCCACAGGATTCCAGGAGCAGCCTAAGTCTAAATTGAACCCAGCTTTCAGTGAGTCACTGCAGGTCTTTTCCCCTGGATCCAGCAGTTTTCCAGCCCCAGCTGGAGCCCACACACGTTTCCTGCAAGGCTCAGCTGCCTTGTCTGTGCAGAGCTGGGGTGAGTTCTCCATTTCCTGAGCACAAAACACAAATGTGTCTGTCAAACCACAAACCTGTGGGCTGTACCTCCTTGTGCATGGTGCTGCCATCCAGCCGAGGTTTCAGGATCCAGCTTCAGCAGACACCTGCTCGTTTTGGGCTCCTCAAGGCCGAGGGAGCCAAGCAATTTCCACTCTATGGTTGCCAACAGCACCACTCACATCAGCTCCCACAGCATAAAAGTCCCCCAGGGTTGTTGGCAGCTCTCTTTGAGTGTTGTCAAGCACTGCAGGGTGACCTGTCACGCTCAGCCCCTGTGTCCCACTGCTGGGAGTTCAGGGAGCACAGGCAGATGCTGCACAGGGGATCCACGGCTCTTCTTTGAGGATCTACATAGAAACATCGGGTTTTCTCTTGCAGATGCTTCTGCCTCACCCACCACAGAAGAGCTGGAAATGAGGTGCCTTCAGCTGCAGAGCCAGGTCTGGGAGATGGAGGTGAGGCTGCTCTGCTTGCCCTGAGCCAGCTGCTCCTTTGGTTTGAGATCATGCCAGTCTGGCCTCTCTCAAGCTGTCCCTTTGATCATCACAACCCTTCACCACTGAAAAGAAGGAGCAGGTTGGATGTGAGCAGCAGGGCAGGTTTTAAACACACAAACATCTGTGCCCCCTGCAAGCTTCATTCTGATTTCCAGGGCTGGAGAAATGCTCGGCTCCTGCACTCTTGGGAGGTTCCTCTGCCACTGCAAATCTTTCCTCCTCCCTTTTCCCTGCTGCTGATAGAGCTGCTGTCTCTGCCCTGCCGGAGAGTCAGTCACTCTGTCTGTCTGCCAGGGCCAAGGAGCCCCAGGACAAGCCTCTTCCACTTCCCTCTCTGCCTCACAGCCACAATTGACCCCTCTCAGCTTTCTGAAGCTGACCTGACTTTCCTCTTCCAGCGGTTCCTGAGTGACTATGGTCTGATTTGGGTTGGAGAGACACAGGAGCAGCTGGAAGATACAGGATCAGTCCAGGATGGAGAGGAGCTGCCAGCAAGGATCCTCTGCAAGCCGGGTAAAGCACCAGCACCCTTGGCTGAAGCTGCTACCCCAGCTCCCACTGCATGCTCAGAGAAGGGAGAGGAGATTAAGCACCAAAACCTCAGGATTTGGGTCTTCTGACTTTGGAATCCTGTGCCAAGATCTTCACATTGATCCCTCTCAGGGACACAGACATGGAGCAGTCTAACAGGAGCTCAGCAGAGGGTTTAATTTGCTATACCTGTATTTTGTACATGCTCCTGGGGGAGGAGGAGAGAACCTGATGGCTCAGCCCTTCAGGAGGAGGCTTCACAGCAGCTGTTTCCTGCAGAATTCACAAACCCTGCACATTTGAGGCTTGACTGCTCTAATGACATTGACATAGAGTGGGTGGAAAACGGAATCAGGTGCTTTGTGTACATAGGAGCTGTAGTAACTTACCCACAGAGCCTGGCTCCAGCAGGGAGTTGTTTGCTTTTCCTCCCAGCCACCACGTGAGGGTTTAATTGAGACCTGACTCTGCTGTCTGGGGTCCAAGCAGCTTTGGCAGTGGCTCCTTAGGAAGTGGCAACAGAGGAAAAAAAGAAAATGATTTGGACTGTAGAGCTGATGCTGCTTCCTAACCACCATGCAAATATTAGACTAGACCTTCTCTTAGATGCAGCAGGGGAGAGACAGAGGGACAGCAGCAGAAACAGTTTTGGTTTCAGCTCACTGACCCTGTTCAAGGGTATTTCCGCATCATCCTTTAGCAACTCATAAAAAAGCAGAACAAACAGGGACTTTAGCTCAACTTAGACCTTTTCTCTCATTTCCTCTTCTGACTTCATTCTTCTGTCCCGTCATAACCCGTCTACTGCTTCACCCTGCCACCCTCAAACACCCAGGCAAACATCCTGGCACAGTCCCTGCCCTGCTGCAGGCAGCTGCCTCTGTTTGTGCTGACACCTCCTCAGCACCTGACCCATTACTGATCCAATCTGGCAAATCCAGCTCGTGCAGGTCCTGATCCTGCACGGCACAGGGACACCACAGCGCTCCTGGGAGGATCAACAAGGCCAGGAGCCGAGCGTGGGCTCTGGAGCTGCTCTGGAGCTCTGAGTTTGCAGCCCCAGCATCCTCTGCCCTGCCCTTGTGGTTCAGCACTCGCCTGTGCAGACCTGGCAGCTTGCAGCACGTTCTGCACAGGGCACAGCACGGGCAGCCCAGAAATGCCAGGGCTCAAACACACCCCAAACTCACACAGATAAATCTGCCCTGCCACCACTCCTTCCCCCGTGACTCTGATCCCTCTGTGACTCTGATCCCTCTGTGATTCTGATCCCTCTGTGACTCTGATCCCTCTGTGACTCTGATCCCTCTGCCGCAGGTGAAGCCGTTGTTTGCAAACACCAGATTGATTTTGATTTAATCTTGGAGCACATTAAGGATCTGAACTCGCTGGTTGGAGAGGGCATTGCTCAGATCGAGCAGACGCCCCGGGGGGCTCGGCTGAGGCGAACAGAGCCCCTCACTCTCACCCTGTACCAAAACGGGATCGTCGTGGGCAGCGGAGCCCTCCGGCCCTACCAGCACCCAGCCACACAGGTATGGAGAGCAATCAGAGCCATCCTCCAGCACTCACTAAGCCCCAGGAAAGGGGACAGGGCTTCTGAGCTCATCTCAGTCCTACAAAGGGGCCCAGCTGCACATTTGCATCCCCACAGCACCTTTAAAGCCTTGTCTTGTGCAGTCATTTTTAGAGATGGAGACTCTGTGTCTTTGATGCAGACCTTTCTGCACGGCCACACCACCACAAACAGGAGCAGCCCAGCAGAAAAATCAGTCCCGAGCTCCACAGAAAGCCTGAGGTGTGACCACGAGCTCTCCTGTTGTTTCAGCAATGCCTGCAGGACATCATGGATGGTTATTTCCCCTCGGAGCTGCAGCCACGCTACCCCGATGGCGTCCCCTTGCAGGCGAGTGCCACACCCAGCTTTTGGGCAAAAACCTCTCTCTTGCTCGCCAAGACAGCTCAGGGGTTGTTTCATCACTCTGCTGGATGGTCCCCAGAGCAGGTGGAGGTTTGTGGTGCTGTGCAGGTGTGGCTGGGGAAAAGGGAGGCACAGGGGCACCTGCAGCAGCCGTTACAGGAAGGATTTCAGCGCCAGGCTTCAAAGGTTTCTGTGCCCCGGGGAAGCTGGCTCGGAACAAGGCTTCCAAGAGCACAGCAGGCTCTGTGAGAGAAGCAGCACTTGCAGGAAGTTGAGAGCTGTGTCATGAAAAAGAGGGAAAAAGCTTCTCAAATAGTTCCCCTGGAAAAGCTTTTAAGGTGAGATTGAACAAGTGACTTTTAAAGAGGATGTCATGAGAGTTTATCTTGCCATGGTTTAAATGGATTTGGCCACCTGAGGTTCTCTCGGGCCCCAGTTTTTGATTTCTCAGAAATGGCAAAGAGCCAAAGCCACATTTGCAGGCAGAGAGCCTCAGAGGACTCAAATCTAGGTCTTGGAGTGCACCTGAAACGTCAGCAGGCACAACCAGAGCCTGGACTTTCCCTCTGCCACGGAGAAAACAGGGCACAACTGCCTGAACAGGACAAGGTCAGGCCAGCAGGAGCGAGCTGGGAGCTGTGCAGCTCAGAAAGGCACATGGAAGGGGCATTGTGCAAAGCTCTGGGCACTGAGGTTCCCTGTAACCTCATTGCTTTCGTTTGGGGTTTACAACTGCTGCTTGTCATTACTGTGGTTTATTGGGCTGTGATGCAGCAAGAGGAGCTTGTGCAACAGTCAGATTTGCTTACAGGTCACTGACAGGAGGGACGTGCTGTTTCAGGAGCCAGAGCTTCCAGGGAGTTTTCCTGGTGTTGGTCAGGTGGTGGGTACTTCAGAATCCAACAAAGTGCAGGAAAACGCCGAGATCCCAGGTAAAATCTTAAATCTGCCTCAGAAATTCAGCTCATTCTTGAGGGGGAGGATTCTCCAACCTTACCAGGGCAGTGCAGGTGGTAGGATGGGGAATGTGAGGGTCTCAGCAAGGAAAGCAACACTTTGGGGTGTTGTCTCAGGAGCTGGGAGCCAGCAGTACACACAGGATCCTCTCAGCATTAATCCTGCTTAAGAATGAGACATAAAATAGAAATTCAGCAGGTTTCCAAAAACATATATCTTCCCTGTGGCTTTCTGAAAGGCCAAGCTCCTTCCACCTTCACCCCATCAAAGGATGCTGAGGTAACCCTGCAGGCCTGGGTGGAGAGTTGATTGCAAACCTTTCTCCTCTCTCCTACAAGCTCATTCTAAAAGTGTAGCTATCTTCAAGCCAAGTGTAACCGTACTGAATATGGGACAGTTTCTCTTCAGACTTTCACAACAGAATAGGGGGCATCAGAGGCCACAGATTCCTCCTTTTGCTCCTCCTAGACGCTCTCGGTCTGTGTAAGCAGTGTCTGACAGGGGTGGGAAGTCACAGAGACATCAGTGGGTCTGTGGTGCATCACTAAATAACCCAGCACATGAATCACTCATGAGAAACATGAGTTTACATACAACTGTGCTCAGTCACCTCAAGGCTAAAGCTAAATATCCCCTTTGTACAAGCAGTAAAAAAAAAAAATAATTAAAAATGTCCAAGCAAAAAGGAATGGACGCCTACAAATACACCCCGGGCAAGGTGAGAAACGTCCAAGTCCCTTAACATGGTGATAGCACCAGATTTTCACAGCAGAGCTACCTGCCTGCTGTGCATCCCAGCTGTGCACTGAACAGCCTGTTCTCACTGTTGATGTTGACAATCAAACATTGAGTGGGGCAGAAGGTGGGACAGCTTCAAGGGAGGAACCCGAGAGCAGCTCAGGGCCTCGCTGGGGTGCTGAGAGCTCTCCCTGTTGGCTGCTGCGCTCTCTCCTTTCACCAAATCAGCCTCTTCTGGAGGCAAAATGTTTGTCACAAAGGTCATGCACGGACATACCTCCCCCCTCTGCTCTGGTAGGTCCCAAAGCCTCCTTGGAGCAGGTTCCCAACAAGCTTTCCAAGCCCCTGAAGCACAGAGGGAGAGTGGGCAGTGCCCGAGCAGCACCACAGGTAGGACTGGACCCCCCAGACACCCCCAGGAGGAGGCCAGGGATGATTCTCTGGCCTCAGCCTGTGCACAGCACCAGAACCCCCTCCTTGGGCCTCTCTCAGCTCCGTGGAACCTCCCAGAGAGGCTGCACCAGAGCACACGTGGCACTTGGCACTGGCTGCTGTCCCTGCAGGCCACTGCCACTCACCTGCTTTGGTTGCAGGGCTCTGATGGGCAGCAGAGCAGCGAAGAAATCCTGGTGGAAACACCTGGGCTGGCTGGCCTGGAGAGGTACAGGTACAGCCCCTCACCCCCTGCCTTGTCAGATCTCTTCCTCCTATTTCATCACTGCAGGTTTAGTTCAGTTGAAGAAGTAAATGGTCTTTCCCCTTTTAGACCGTAGAAACAGACAAAAGGCCAAGTTTGGTCCTTTGGGAAAACCACTGAATTTTTCATAGCGAACATGCCATATTTTACATCTCTAACAAAAAGCTTCTGTTGTTCAAAATGTCACTTATTTATGTGAAAGTTTTCCCGACAGCAAGCCAAGGCCTAAGAGTTTGAAAGCATTGAAGGAGCTCTTTGCAGTCACTAAATGGGAGAACCCCTCCAGGAAACTGATGCCCAAGGTGGGAGGTCTCACTAACAGCACTTTTCCACTCAGTCTTCTGGCAAGCCAAGACCCAAATAGCTAAAGAAAAAAACCTCAAGCAGATTATTTTTAATCGAAGAAGTAGGGCAGAGTACTTACCAGACAGCCCTGGTTTAAAATGAAAAAGCTAAAAAAGGCCCATAACCCTCTTCAAGGCACCTTCAGGCTGGGAAAGCACAGCAGCAGCGGTTTGGAGCTCTGGGTTGGTCTGGTTGCCATGGACAGATGGGGCCTCGTTCACCACAAGGACATTCCCAAACATCAAACTCCTCTCCTCTGGTGTGGTCATGGAGGCTGTGCCTGCTGAGTGGAGCTCACTCTTGGGCTGGCAGGGTTTTCTGATCCCCAGGGTGAAGGCAGCTGAGGAGGCCGAAGCTGCTGCCCGTGATTTCTGCACTCTGCGCATCAGATCCGAGAGCGGGGAGCAGAGGTACGAGGTGAAGATGCTGCTCACAGACACCATCGGGGACCTGCGCCAGCACCTCGCCCACATCAGGTAGTGCAGGACTCCCTCCCCTCCTTGCCTGATTCTGCAGGACCCCAGCAAAGGGTTCTTGAGGTCCTGGAGTTTCAAACATTGGCCTGTTGGGTCACAGCCTCAGCCCCAGCCCACCTGACACTCTCCAGGCAGTCCTGAGAAGCTCAGAGTGTTTCACACCCACCTTTGCCACACAGCAACACAGATAAACTTCTGTCCTCCCAAAATATCCATCAGATCCAGGCCCGGGGCTGCCTTTGCTCCTTCCAGCACTCACCCAACTGGTGCCACCCTTCCCAAGGTGCTGGAAGCTGAGCTGCAGCCTTTGCTTGGCTCAGCCAGCTCCGTGTCCCAACACATTTAACGCTGCACAAGGGCTCCCTCAGCCTGGTGGGGACAGTTGCAGGTGGCTGAGGGCTCCCTTTTGCTCTCCCCTCTTCCCACGGCTGCTGCAGGCCATGGTCCTGGCCTCGGTGTGAGCCCAGGATGAGCTCAGTGCTGCTGGGATGCACGAGCCTCCTTCCTCCCCAGTGCAGCTGTGCCTGGCTGGCTGCAGTTTGGGCTGGGAGCCCTTTGTTCTGCTCTTGCATAACCACAGCTGGATCAAAGCATCTCAGCAAAACCTTGGGGGATCCAGCGAGTAGGAGAGGATTGTGCTGTTCTTTTCCAGGGGTGGGAACTCGGACTATGAGATCATCAGCACCTTTCCCCCGAGGGTGTACACGGACAACTCCAGGAGCCTGCAGGAATGTGGGCTGGTCCCCAGTGCCTCCCTGCTGCTTCGGAGGAGAGAGCCCTCCCAGCAGGAGGGGAGGGGGCTGCAAACAGCCCCCTAAGAGCTCCTCACCCCCCAGCTCTGCACAGGGAGGGAGCTGCCTCTCACCTTACCCAACCTGGCTGGGAGAAGGAGAGGTTTTCTTTCCAGATTTAGTTTCACTGTGCCGTTACCTGGGATGGAGAAGAGCTGGGAGCAGCCACTTGGCCTCTCCCTTTGGCAGAGGGGGCCGGGCCCAGTCCTGCTGCCTCACAGGACAGGCAGGTGCCAACACAGGGACACTTCCACCAGCTCACCTGGGCTCCAGGCCTCTCATCTCTGTGCAGGGTTACACAGGCTGAGCCCTGCCTAGGGGAGCCTGCCAGCTTCACCCCAGCAGTTGCTTAGCTGGGCTCAGGGGCTCTGGAGCAGCAGGATGGACACACAGCCAGGGGCAGTTTGCTTTCTACACACAGCTGATCCCTACAGGTTTCACCTGCTCTGATACCAGGGCACAAACAGGCTCAGTTCCACGGTCTCTGCTGGAGCTAAACCTGAAGGCCTTGAGCCATCACAGTGCTGGGGCTGAGCCAGGCTCGACTCAGCCGGGAGATCCTGCTGCTGGGTTTCCTGTACGTGCACAGCTCCTTCCCTTGGACAGCCCCCAAGCTGCAGCGGGGCCCGGGCTCCAGCCTGCCTGGAGGAACCCGCCCTCCTCCTCCCGCTGGATGCTGCAACAGGACACCGTGTCATTGGAGACGAGCAGAATCCCTCCGCGGCGTCTCTGCTGAACCCTGTATAAAGCATCTTCCTCCCTCTCCCGTGGGCTGGGGCTGCACTTTTCCCTTTCCCCAGCACATTCTTCCCATTCCAGCTGTGACAAGCTCTCACTTGACTCCCAGCTGACAACACTCCCACTCATGCGAGGCAGGGCCTTCTGGCAGGTTCCCTCTTCGCAGAGACCCAGCCCTCATTAAAGGCTCCCAATAAAATCCTTTACTTCAGCTGCAATTTCCATTTCCTTTAGGTTTCAAAGGCTGTGAGAAAGCTCAGGGTGGCCAGAGCTCTTCCCAGACCCCTCTGAGCAGAGCTGCACACCTCAAACACAGGAAGCAAACCAGCTGCTTCCCTTGAGCTCACACATCCCTCCCTCAGCTTCTTCCTTTCTCCACCTGTAGCAGATTCAGGAGCAGCTGTTTCCCCTGCCCCTCTGTACCCTGGTCTAGGCAATCTTTGTGCCAAGGGTTTGTTTTTCAGTCCCACGTCTGGCTGAGGCTGTCCCTGCCCCGGGCTGTCACTGTCACCACGCAGGGGAGAGGAATGCTCTGGTACCTGTCACTACTGTGCCGTGGGACATTCACACACGTCCTGTCAGCCTCTGATTAGCAGCAGCAATCTAAGGTGTTAAGATCTTTGTGTCAGGCTGCAGCAGCACGTACAACCCACTCAGCTTCTCAGCTGGAAATGACTCACAATCCTTGGGTAGGGTGATGTTTAACCTGTAGCCAAAATAAAACCGAATTTAAAAGAAATGCAAGAGTAGCGCTGTGAAAGGTACAGTAACATTTAATAGCATCTTGGAAGACAACACTGGTTATAAACTTGCTTTTTGGCAGGAAAACAAAATGCACTTGGTCCAGGATTGCAAAAAAGCCAACTCAAAGAGGAAAGATCGGACAGCTGGAGCATCAGCTGTTCTGGGGCAGCCCTGAGCCATTAATGCTCGCAAGGGAGCCCAGCCAGGGTGGAGGGAGGCCAGAGCAGCACAGATCCCACTTCCAGCCCCACCCATTCCCCAGGCAGCCTTCACTCCCAGCTCCACCGTGGTGGGCACTCAGACCCCACAAAAATTCTGTGCAGTATTTTTGCATTAAATTAAGACAAACAAAAAACAAAAAACAAAACAAAACAAACCCAAACCCCTTTACTTAGTTGCCATAATCTCTGCAGTTGAGATGAAGAAGGGGGGAAAAAAAAGAGGAAAAAAATAAGGAAGTGAGGCAGCAGAATTTACAATTTTAACAGCAACTGGGAGAAGTGGGAAGTACCATGCAGCCCAAAGCCCTTCCCTCCCGAGGCAGAGGAGGGGGCTGAGGGCCAGGGGCACCTCGCACAGCCCCGGAGGCTTTGCTGTTTACAGAGGCACTGGAAGCTGCCGTGAGCCAGGCCCAGCTCTGCTCACAGGCCAAGCGCAGCGAGCGTCACACTTTCTTTGGATCCCTCTGAGATGATACCGGGGTTAGGCAGGAGGGAGTCGGAGGCAGCTGCGATGAGGAGTTTTGGTCGTGGGTTTTTTCCCTGTGCTGGGATACGAGTCGCGGTGCCAGGACAGCGCTGACAACCTGGAGGTGAAGGTGGTCGGGGATGAGGGCGCTCAGGAATGCAGGTAGAGTCCAGGATGGGAGGGGAAGCAGGGCTCAGGCCAACTTCAGGAACTCCTGCAGAGTGTTTTGCTCCACCGCTTCCACGAAGAGCTCGTAATCCTGCGGGGAAACGCCACACGGTCGCTCACGAGGCAGGAGGGTCTCTGAGCCCACGGCACAAACTGGTCACAGCCAGGCACCAGCTGGTTGTGCCAAGGATGACAGGACAAAGCCCCACTGCCACCCAAAGCCTGTGCTCCCCTCTTCCCAAGGCAAACAGTGAATCCTGGCAGCACCTGGTCCCTGCACCTCACAAGAAATAACTTACAAGGCATCTCTAACATCTGAAGCAAAGCCAAGGACAGGACATCACCCACCACCCAGCTCCAGGGTGCCGAGCCTGGTGTGGAGCCTCACCCCGCAGTACTGGTCCCCGTTGACGATCTGGGGTGGGATGGCTTTGGGGTTGCCTGCCTTCGCCCTCATCTCCTCCCGCAGAGCGTTGTCCTGGGAGATATCCACCAGCTCGTACTTGATGTTCTTCCCATCAAGGATTCGGGTTACTTCGCTCTGTTGGGATTTGATCTGGAAGCCGGGTGGGAAAGGCAGGTTACGGGGAGATGGAGAGGAGCCCGAAGGGAACACACCCAGCGTGCCAGCCAGGCTCAGCACAGCGCCCACGGCTGCGCGGGGGGCACACCCAGCACGGAGGGGTGGGTTTGGGGACAGATGGGGACCGAGGATGGGCCCGGGGGGGGCTCGGCTTCCCCACGGGAAGAGAGACACCCACCCACGGGAAGAGGGGCCCCGCAGCACGCAGCCCTGCCCGCCGGCGCTCACCTCCCGGGAGCCGGTCACCGAGGTGCTGTAGACCTTGAGGGTGCTCATGGTGCGATCGCGGCCGCTCCCAGCGCTCAGCCCGGCCGGGGGAGGGAGGCTCGGAGGGATGGAGGGAGGAGCGGCAGCCCCGCCGCCGCCCGGCATGTGACTGCGGGGGCCAATGGGGCCGGCGGGCCCGGGCATGCGGCCTCGGCGGGGCCGGCCCCGGGAGCCACCGCCCCGGCGGCACCGGGAGCCACCGGTACCGGCCCCGGGAGCCACCGGCCCTGCCCGGACAGCCACCGGCCCCAGCCCCTCCCCAGGCAGGACGGCCTCGCACGAGTGGGTCAGAGCAGCTTTATTTGATTCTCCAAATCCTCGGTACAAACAAGCGGTGAGACAGAGGCTGGCACAAAGACACTGAGCCCAACGGGAGCGGGGGGACATGCGAGGCACGAGGAAGGGGGGACAGGGAGGGGACGCTGTCCTGTCCCCGTGGCCTGGGGGGGTTCTGCAGCAAAGGGCCCAGGATCTCCCCTGCAGCAGCAGCAAACGGCACATGGGATCACCCTCTGGGCCAGAGGGGCTCCGTTGTGCAGGGTGAGGAGAGGAAATGTGCCCATGGAGGGGACACGGGACCTGGGCAACAGCTGAGGTGGTTCCAGCCACAGTAATCTCATCTCAGAATCACCCCTGCAGGGGCAGAGGGCAAACCTGTCCCCTCACAGCACCCAGGGATGAGATCTTGCACCTCCAAAGCAAAGGGGAGAAAGAGATGGTGCCCAAACCCCCGAAGAACCTGCAGGAGCCAGCAGAGCTCCCGGCACTCAGGACAAACAGCATCACAAATAACCCTGGAAATGTGTTTTGCTCAGTCCAGAGCACCAGCAGCCCAGGGACAGACACAGCCAGGAACACAACAACACCCAGGGAGAGCAGGACAGACAGACAGACACCGCCAGGCACACACTGCTGCATGCTCCTCGTGAGGGACAAACCAACCCAGTTCCTTGTCACCATTCCCCATGGTGGCCAAACACTAAGAACAAAACAGATTTGGTCTTAAAATTTTAACACAAAGGAATAACAAAAACATTTCTGCCAAACCCAGGGCTCGCAGCCCCAACATGAACCAAGAGCAGCCAAACAACACAAATGTCAGCAGGATTTTTTCCCTCTCATAACTTGGTATCTTGCTCTTAAGATGAAAACTAAAGTTCCACCCTTGGACTCTGTACTGTAAAGCTGTCACTGGGGTTAGGGAGGGTTGTGGTGCAGTGAAACTGATCCCACAATGGGATTTAGAAATCCCATTAGTTGCAGAGGAGAAGGGAAGGAGGGACAGGGCTGTGACAAAGCCCAAGTGGCCACTGCCTTGCAGGAAGAACTCCCTCATTAGGACCAGTATGGCTTTCTCCCCGTAAAGCAGAGATGTGTCCCCAGGGGCACAGAGGCTCTGGCAGGGGCCACAGACACTTGGAGCTCCCCAGGATTGTTTGTGATGGCTCTGAAAGGCTGTGAGAGGGAAGAGCAGCTCCTCACCCACCAGTGGATGCATTGGGCACAGAGCAGAGTGGGGGCAGAGGGTTCTTCCAGCTCATTAAGGCACTTCAGCATCAATCCACTTCCTCTGCAGTCTGAATCACAGCCCACTCCCAGTGCTGCTTCAGGGGAACAAAAGGCTTAAGGCTTCTGGGGTAACAGTGCCCAGGGGGGAGGGTTTCAGAGTCTTTTAGTGTTGCTTTATTCCTCAACTCATTCTGGCTGCTGAAAGACACTGGTTGCATTTACCTGAGGAAAGCAGGTCCTGCTCCATCAATCCAAGGCAGTAGCACCTCGATGTAAATACCAGGAGTGTAACTGGCACACCTGCCTGCCTGTGGAATCCAGATACCCCACGAACACTCTGACAACCCTC